CACCAAGTCATTCCGCCTTGCTTGGTATCAGTGATACCTTCATTACAGAGGAGTCAGATAAAGCAGAAATGTTAAATTCGTTCTTTCCAAACATTTTACCATTGAAATTGACCCAATCCCTTTAATTCCTCCGCTGTCTGGTGCTTCTCTCAGCATCATCAATTTCGTCCCTGCACCTATCCAAAAACTAATAAACCAGCCTACTAACTCGCACTCAGTAGGAACTGACAATATTCCAAACTCTCTTATAAAACAGCTAAGAGATTGTCCTCCTCTGCTTAACAAACTCTTTTCAGTCTGCCTCGAAAATTGTTTCTGACCTGACTATTGGGAAGCTCCTATTATTATTCCGGTATTTAAATCTGGCTGTCGTTCTGATGTTCAAAACTATCGAAGTGTTCATAGAACACCTCTCGCCCAAACCTTTGAAAAAACTATTGCCATGAAAATTACTGACTTTTGCATAGCCAGTCCAGTTATTAGCCCGTCCCAACATGTCCTTTTACCCGATCGCTCTTGTGAACATGTCATATGTCGTTTTTCAATCTACTTATCTCCCTTCATAATTATCATTTATCTATGGTCGTTATTTATTTTGATTTTGGTAAACCCTTCGATAAAGTGTCACCTAGAAGACTTAGTTAAATAAGAAGTTCTGCGAATTCGCAGTCCCCTTATAGACCTTATCAAGTCATACCTGTCCAATAGTAAACAAAAGGTTTTAGTGGCGTCTTCATTCTCCAATGAGAGCCCTGTTGTAAGTGGTGTCCTGCAAGGCACCGTTTTAGGTCCTCTTATGTTCCTGTTGTACATAAATGACATCTCGTTGGCAGTTAAACATTCTCAATCATTTATTTATGCCGATGATCTCAAATGTGTATATTCTTTCAATAAATCTACGAGCCTTCATTGCCTGCAGCAGATCCATGCTGACTTGCATGCTCTCTCGGCTTAGAGCTCAAAATGGCTAATGGAATTATCTACGTCTAAATGTCGCTATATGTGTTTTGGACCTGATATGCTACCTCGACCAGTGGTCTTTGAAGGCACACCTATGCCTGAATTTACCACCATTAAGGATTTAGGTTTAAGCTACACTAGTAATCTTGATCTCTCGCCACACGCTGACAGAATTACAACCAAAGCTGCCCAGATTTGTTGCAGTTAAACATTCTCAATCCTTTATTTATGCGAATGACCTCAAATGTGTACATTCATACAAGAAATCTACGATCCTTCATTGTCCGAAGCAAATCCATGCTGACTAGAAGACTCTTAGGTACGAAACATGTAAATATTTACTATTCACATAGATGTCAGCCAAGTAACCTAAAATGTTTGTGGGTTAAAAGACTAGAAGCAGGCTTCTGTCTCCTCGTTCGCATTAATAATGGTTCAACTCTTCCTAGAATTTTAGCCCTTATCCCTACCCTGCCAGCACCAGCCCCGCCTAGCCCCGCCTGGCCCCCTCAATAATGGCGGGGCTAGAGGGGGCCATGAGGGGGCTAGGCGGGGCTGTGGAGGGGGCTGTGGCGGGGCATGCATCGCGATAGCCCCGCCTAGCCCCGCCAGCGAAAAAATGCGCAGGGGAGGCCACATCCCCGCCCACTTTTGGCACCGCTTTAAAATATCGTCGCGATTGTCAAATATACGAATTAATAACGCACACAGATTGTAAACCGGTGGAGAAATAAGAGTTTACGCAATGAGGGACTTAAACTGAACCTCAATATATTGTGCTCATCCGCAGCTACATTCAGTGGGCGTAAACGGATGCTTTCTCCATGATTTATAAGCCAATTTTGATAAATTAGCTCCTTTTAATTCCAAAGAAGGTACATTAAGTGGTGCTTTTGGAACATATCTTTCGATGCAAATACGCTTAAAAATGCTTCAATGCAGAGGGGGCTCTGGCCCCACCCAGCCCCTTCCAGCCCCGCCTATGAAGGGGCAATGTGCTGGCAGGGTAGTAGTCGCCCAAACAATCGTCGAAATTCTTCCTTGATTATACCTCTTTCCGCTTCCTCCACCTCTAAACGCTCTCTTTTTCCTCCCAAGGTATACTTTACTCCGGAATAATTTTCCAATGAACATAAGATCATCAGATCATCTGCATACCTTTAAGAGAAGGCTGCACCTTTATCTGAATACTGACTCTATTACGCTTTTATTTCCCTCATCCTCCCCGGACTACTTTCTTTATGACACTGAGAAAGGGCCATCGGGAATTTAGGACGCCGCCACTAAAGTTCTGCATTCGCTCGCATTTCCTTCTTTTGTATGTAGTATCATTTCCTGGGATCCCTCATTAGAAATGTTAATTTTTCCGATTGTTCACTTCATGTATCGTGTCCCTCATATAATGCGATACATTCCTGACATATTCTCTCAAAGAAGTAGCGTGGATAGGTTGACGTGCACGTTCTCAGCCGCCGCAGTTTCGATGACCGCACACACTCACCAGAATTCCATT